TCACTTGACCATTTCTCGGGCTTGAATTCTGCAACATCTACCTTCAATTAGTTTGAGACTTCTGCAACTTTTCATTTCCCAACAGGATTAAGCCTGTTAAAAGCAACTAGTGTTTTCCTATCTGATAAATAAGCAGATTACAGCAGTAACTGCTGTCAGCATTTTTCTCATTTAAACAAATAAAGCTGACAAATGATGAAGTTCTGTGCTGCTCTGTTATGTTTAGAACATGCAGAGCAATTATTCATTTGCTGCCAACATTAGTCTATCCACAACTAAACCATCCCAGAGCTTGGAAAGCTTATTAGCATATCAGTACCCTAGTTATATGTTTATATTCTGTGAGGCTCTACTCCATAGCAAAGGCTGATGGGTGTAATTTGCACAATAATTCTCAAGTATTGGGCTTGTCCATACTTAAGAGTTAATGCAAGTTATTGGGTACAATGCTACTCTTCTTTAGGAGGTGTTGTCTTCTATTAGTCTGGAACTTTTGTACCATTATAACATTTCCTATGATCAAGTTAGCTGCCCTCTCTGGAGATAGAAAACTAGATAGCTATGTCTGCTTGCAACACAGATGGGTGAATTCCAGTAGAGATGTAGGAGCAGTTCCCTTAAATAGAGAAGCTTTGCTGAGATAGTTTTCAAGTGTGGATATAGATTTGCATTACTGTCTATATATGTAAGTGTGTGTGTGTGTGTGTGTGTGTGTGTGTGTGTGTGTGTGTGTGTGTGTTTGTCACAAAGGCACTGAAAATTTGATAAAGAATGTTCTACTTTTTAAGAAAGGTGCCTTATTAAAGTAGCACTATTTTGTTATGCTAGGGAAAACACTAAAGATATAAAGAAATCATGACTTTTTTTTTTTTTAAGGATTCTCTTAGAAGGGATGGTCTGATGAACCCAAGACCTCATGTTTGGAGGGGGCCTCATCAAGACAATTAATATGCGTGTGTGTGTGTGTGTGTGTGTGTGCGCACACGTGTGTGTGTGTGTGTGTGTGTGTGCGCGCGCGCGAGCAAGAGAGAGAGAGAGGGAGAGAGAAGGAGAGAGAGGGAGAGAGAAGGAGAGAGAGGGAGAGAGAAGGAGAGAGAGAGTCTGGCAGTGTCATTTGTGACCCACCACCTTGATGACACTGATTGGAAGACTACACTGTATTCAGGAGCGGTTGGCTTTGGGTTTGCTTCTGTCCTGTTGAAGAGCATCTAAAGTGGAACAGTAGCTGAGCTGTGCTGCTGATGTTGAATTCATGACTTAAGGCTTTCCCTTTCAATCTTGGATGAATGTTGACAAAGAGTGGTATTAATAGGGCAGCATAAGTCTACTCTCCATGGTGGTGAGGACCTATTTTCTCTTTGTTCTTCCCGAAGAACTATGTAAATATTTCTGTGTGTAATAGTCAAACAGGTTCAGGCCTTGTTGATCCTATGGGTGCTGCTCTGGTCATTGTGCCTGTATATGCAAACATCCTTGATTCAGCTCCTGTGCTCCAGGCCACTCACTGTTCCCTGTCCTAACCCCAGGACTATATAACAGCTAGAGGTGGTAGGTAACCATTGTGTCACCCGGGCCCACTAACATTACTCAGATTAGCTAAGTCTAGTTCTTTCCACTCTGCCCTTTTGATTCCCTCTCATGGGAACCAAAGTAGAAAAGTTCTTGTCCGGTTTCCCCCACCCTTCTGCTTTCTGTTTGCCCTGCTATGTGCTTCCCTGTGCTGCTGTGTGCTGCTGCGGAGTGTGGTATGCTGGGCCTGTTTCTCGCTATGTAAATTTCCTCCTTGTGGCTGTCATTTCCATGTCTGCGTGTCTAACCACACTTGATTAAAATAAACTGTGGGTGCCCTTGGGGGAACAATTGCAAACCGGTGGTTTGCATGTGTGAACTCCCTGTTTTCTGACTTGGACATGTGACTCCTCTGAGCCATTCTGATTAGATAGACTCATGAGATGGAGAGGCTGGCAGTGGAAGAGTGGCTTGATCACATTTTTACCTTTCAGGCCTCTCGTATGCTGCTTTAAAAATGCTAGATATGTTTTTGTACAAAATAATGGGGTTTGTCACTTGTTTTTGTAGGTGCATTGTGCAATTTGACCATATCCACCCACCTTCACTCCTGATCACCTTTCTTCCCTTGCCCACCCTTACCCCCAACTTCTACTTTGCTATTTGTCTTTGTTGGATTTGGTAGTTTGTTTAATAGGATGATCTCCAGTTCCATCCATTATCTTGGAAATAAACAGCATCACTTTGTTCTCAATGGCTGGATAATAATCTATTGTGAATATATAGCACACGTTATTTATCCATTCATCTGTCAGTGGTTCCCTAGGCTAATTTCATGACAGCTATTGAGAATAGTGCCATAGTGAACACAGAACATGTCTCCAGTGCATGCTGAGCTTAATTGCTTTGGGTATATACCCAAGAGTGGTATAGCTGGATCATATATTAGTCCTGTTGTTGTTTAAAAAAAAAAAAAAAACCTACATACAGATTTCCATATAGGCTGCACTAATTGACCTTCCCACCAGCAGTGTATACAGTTTGAGGGGCCTGCTTTACAAAGGATGGTGTGTTCTGTCTCAGTAAGTGTTCCTGAAACAGGGCCAGATCTTCCTACCACTGTTCCATCTCTCACCTGAGCCAGTGGTATGAGCCTTTCTTCTCTACTTGGTCTTCAAAACAGATTATCCATTTGTCTCACATGGAAGAACAATATGTAAGCAAGCCCCATTCTGTACCACATGACTCCTTTTCATCAACTCCTCAACGTCCCTTAACAGAATGTGTGCCCCACTCCTTGCCACTTTCTATTGAAACAGTTGTTTTTGCTTGTTTGCTGGTTTGTTTTGTTTTTTAAATGGATTTTTATTTTCTATGTAGTGTTGTCTCTTTTCCCCTTTGCTAACCAACTCTTCCATTTCCATACCCCAGCCCTGCTGTGTTTTCTTTGTTCACTGCTGGAATAGGACTTGGGCTTGTCACATATTAGCCAAATGCTGTCACTTGAGCTACACCGTCAACCTTTTATTTATGTGCAAGGAGGTTGGAAATACAAGAGTAACATCATGCTAAAAGTCTTTGCTCTGGAGAAATCCACAGATTGTAGGACTCAAGTCTTTAAAAAGAAAGATGCACTCTATAGGCACTTTCCACAAGAAGAAATGTGGATTGTCAGTAGACATTGAAATGACTACTGGAGGCCCCTCCTCCAGTCTTAGGAAGTTTACCTCAAATTATACATGATGCTTTATGTGTCCATAACTGTTTCTCATCACATATTATGAATAATATGTTACTGATTTTGTGGCTGTTTTCCCCCATGTGACTAATTCACCCCTATTCCTTTTTATTATTTAAACCTTACCATGAACAGTGGCAGGCCTGTAGTCTAGTTCTTCCATCCGTAACCTTTGAATCATTTTTTGTTGTTGTTGTTTGTTTGTTTTTTCTTTAGGTTGTCTTTTGCTAGTTTCTCTCCTTTTTATTATTGAAAATAGGTTCTTCTCTCATACGGTACATCCAGATCACAGTTTTCCCCTCCCTCTACTCCACTTCGCACTTCCCTCCACCTCACTTCTCCACCAATCCACTCCATCTCAATTTCCCTTCAGAAAAGAGCAGGCTTTCAAGAGACAACACCCATCCATAACAAAATAGAATGCAATAAGACAAGGGATATTTATCTGCTGCCTGGATTCCTTTGGAATTTAAAAGGAGAAAACCAAATTAGGCATTTAATTTTTCTTCAATTCTTTCACATGTTCATCTTATTTCCATAATTAAGAACAAGACATTCAGTACAGGGATAGGCATCTCGTTGTGAAAAGCCACAGTGTTCGTTTCTAAGGCAGAAGCAAGGACTCCTCTATCTATAAGCTGTGGATGTAGACAGATGACTGCCTCTCTAAGTCATGGGTTTTTTTGTCTACATCATGGGAATAGAAGAGCATATTCCATCTCTGGGTGATGTGTGGGTACAGTGAGGGGATATCTAGAGCTTCCTGTGGTGCTGGACTTTCATACTAAAGCATTGACTAAGCATTCCTATAGTGATGCTAATTGTCAGCCTGTGTCTATGGAATAGAAGGCATGCAAACTCGAAAGACTGCCAACTTGTTTGTTATTACTTAACTGATTTGGCTGGAAGGAATATCCCCTTTTATCCCTGGCACTCCATGAAGTTTGGCTAACCTTCCCAAAGAAGAACCCTAATGGTCCTTGGTCAGAAGCATGAAGATACTTTAACTCTCAAGTTTGAAGTACCAAGCATATTTCTAATGATTAGAAGGAAAATGCAAATTCATAAAAATTCATTGAAAGGTTAAAAGACTTCAGCTTTATCCCAGCTTACAGATGTATCTTTTTTGCTGCCCCATATCCACTCTGAGAATTTTCCTTGGTTCTCTGCAGGGTTATTAGACTTATATCAGCTTGTCTGCTTGCTATATGTCCTGTCTATTTGCTTTGAATCCCATTGGCTCTGTTATCCTCAACCTTTGATACCACTGTTTGGGCCATTTCATGGAATCTTGGCCTATTTATACCATCTTACACATATTACCTTTTTTATTTCAAGCTACACTATTGCAATGATGCTTCTTTGGCTACAAAACCCTGTAACCACCCTAAGAACAACTTGAAACTGTGTCCCTGAGCTTGGTATGTAGAGACAATTATGTTCTAGACATTACTGTTTGTATGCATTTCTCATAGTACATTTTGTACAAAGACAGAGAGCACCAGGTTAATGTAATAGGAATGTTGTTCTATTGCATGGCACTGCGTTGGCTGATAATACTTTGTGTATGCACTTTACAGCCTACTCAGCTCATGGAATTTAATTAGCAGTAATATATTACTGTCACAGTAATTAAAACCTTGCCTTGATTAAAAACAGAATTGTTTAATTAAAAAGAAAAGGTTTGGCTAACCTTAACTTTGTGATTGAGAAATACAGCAACCTCACATAATGTTCTCTGTCTCTGCATCAGGCTTGAAGGTCCGGGAAGTGTTCATCAATGTCACCAGGCAGCAGGTGGAGGACTTCCATGGGCCAGAGGACTATTGGTGCCAGTGTGTGGCATGGAGCCACCTGGGAACTTCCAAGAGTAGGAAAGCTTCTGTACGCATAGCCTGTAAGTACCTTTGGGCGTGACCTTGGATCTTAGGAATATGGACAAGAGTTAAATACAGTTGAAGAATCCATTGGATATGTCCTGAACTTCTGCAGAATGTAGAAGAGAGGGAAGCAAGATGAACTTTCCGATATCCAATATAAGTTTAAAATATCGTTTTAAATGTTTGATCATTTTCTCCAGAGGACAATCAGCAAGTCAGTTTGCCTGAGAGAATCTGCCTGAATTTTCAGCACTCAAATGTCTTAACAAAGCCAGGATAACACGTCCAGAGAATAAAAAGCCCACACAAGTGGACTCTGCTTCTCCCCATCCATGATGACGCTTAGGGGGTGTACATGGGGAAAGCTAGCAATGACTATTCTACTTTCCAGCCAATCTGCAAAAATAAGGCATTAAAGACATTAAGGAATTTTTAAAGCCTGCTGTTAAATCTCTTCTCTGTGAATCCTAAAACATGGAAACAGGTTTTAAAGCTGCATTTATTTGACCCATGTCAAACATGCATTTAAAAAAAAAAGATAGATGAAAAATGATGAGAAAATAAGAATAAGAATAGAAGAAAACTACTTTTCTGGGGGGAGTCCAAGACTTCTCTATCATATTTCAGCACCAATGTCTTTATAATCTAACTATGATTATGAATACACAAGCCTTTCCTCTTTTAAGTGTCCTTATCCCACCCATTCCCATTACCCTGCCTTTGGATCCTTAGACACCTCATTTTTATGCCTAGGAGTGAAAAAAAAAAAAAAAAAACCTCTAGAAGGGAACTGGGAGGTGCAAGGCAGACATCATTATTGTTGTTTTATTCAAATACTGCCTTTAGAGTGCCATAAAAAATATGGGACAAGAGGGATTTATCTGAGGACTGAAGGAATTCTTCATAGCAGATGTTGATGGCTTGGGGATTAAGAATAGGAGTGAATTGCTATTTGCAGAGACATTTATGTTTCCTCAGAAATGAAATCTTCCTCTTAAAATATGCATTTCACCTTCACAATACTGGTGATTTGGGAGGCCTCTCCTGGATGCCATGTGGGTCCTCATAGACCAAGACGAGGTCACCTCGTAAGCCATATTCAGTGTGAGAGCCTTGGGAAATATTTTTCCTGCAGTTATTTAGTTAATTAAAATTAGCCAACCAATATTTTATGACTTTTAAGTAGCAGGTCAACTGAGAGAGGGAGCATGTGTGCACTCATTTGTCCCGTAATAAGTGCAGTTCTGTGTTCCCTGTGTGGCCTCAATCAGGCCAACCAGAACATTCAACCCTAGTCAAGGTAAGGTATATTTTATAGTGCTCAATCCAAACACAGTGCAGGAAACAGCATGAGAGATTTCAACACTGCCCTACTCAATTTCTTTCTTCTGAGCTTCATCCCCCCCCCCCCCCCCTTATCTCACCTTCCTTCTCCGAGGTAGATGTCACCTATTCTTTGAACTATTACAAATATAATCACTGATCTGCCCACCTCTGATGTCTTCTACCTCTATTCTTCCTCACTTAATTCTTGATTGCCAGGTGCCTGTTAGAAGCCCTTGATTTTGTTTATAAACGTCATCAACAAATGGGTCAAACCACCTATTCTAATTTCCAATCACCTGGACTGTACACATTACACTTCATCCTTCCAAACGCCTGGTGGTTGGATGTGTCAACCTTACCTGTCTGACACAGAGCCTGACTCATGAAGTCTGCAATTTCGCATGTATATTGGAACAGCAGAGAAGAGCCTAGACTCTGCATCCCTGCTCCATTTCCTTTTCCATTCTGCTTCATCTTTGTTTTGTACAGGTGGACTGCATAGTTGATTTTCCTGGGTCTCAATATCCCCAGATGTGAATTGGTGCCTATGGCATGGTACTCACAAGTACTACTTACTTAAACTAGCTGGCCCAGTGAGCGCTCTTGGATCATCATCTGCTGCCTGTGGCATACCTGATCCTCTCCAGAACTATTACATGTTCTGATCTTTGCTGATTTTAATTGAATGAGTGTTCTAGGTTAGCCTTTACCATGCTGCTCTTTTAAGCAGGATAGAAGCAGACAGTAGAGAATATTAATAATGGAAAAGGCACTTCACATTTGGTCACTTTCCTTTTAATCATTTGACCTTTGCAGGCTTCTGAGATCCTTTTCTGTTGATAATCTTGGGATTCTCTCTGAAGATTTAAAAAAAACTTGTTTGTCCTTTTCATATGATAAGCTCATTTGTATATAAAATGTTTTTTTCAGGCAAAAATTGTCAGAATATCATTATAGCTCATATTATATACAACTCACTTAATGTGTTCTCTAAGAGTGTTTGCAACATATTTTTAATTTCTTCCTATGTAGCAAGTTAGAGGCTCTTTAATTTATTTAAAATTATTTATGCAAGCCAAGACATGATTTGTCATTAAATATTGCATTTGACTTGGGGACCAATGTGCATTAAAATGTAAATTGAAATTTAACTAGTGTAGTGGCATCGAAAGTATATGTGGGGGTGCCTTCAGGATCTTACTTGGATGTTTTATTTGCTTCCAGGAAAAACACTTTAGAAATAATTTTCCTTTTTTATTAGACTGAGAAAGAAGAGTTCTGACTTTCACGTGTAAGTACTTCCTAGCAAATAGCACATTGCACATGAGGATACTCTTCATTCTCAATAAATGAATAGGCAAATTAAATATAATTGTTACCATGTTTCTTCTTTTTAAGATTGTTTTTTAAGTGACAGAGGCATCTTAATGTGCTAAATAATCATTGATAGATGAATGCAGTTTATGAACGTGAGAACTGTCATCCGAAGGGACTTTACAATTTACTATCATTTTTATAATACTCAGTAAACAGTTCTATTTCAACATCTGAGCTCCTTATGCTTCCTGCATTGAGCCAATGAGCCATTAAAGATTTAACAAATTTTAAATTGCATTGGGCAGAAGCTTCAAGGCAACTGGGACGTTGAGCTGAGGGACGTATTGACAGGAGCATCTTGATGTGATCATGGTTACTAATCTCTTCAAAAACATCAGGAGGCTCTCTGGATGGTGTTGCTTAGAGATTGTTTAATTTTAATGGGAAACAATGGTAAGAAAAATCTTCTTTTGCTTTTTATGACTCATATGTTCCTCAAAATTAACTCTCTTGGGGGTAAAAGTCACAAACACAGAGCAGTGTCTTCTACAATAGATCTTCTGGATTAGGCTATGGAAGAAGGCCCAGGCAACTGTATATATTATTAAAGATTTTATGATTCAGTGAACAGATATCATTGGGATGTCTTGCCTAGGAAAATATCTCCCAAATGTCAACATGCACCTTCATGCCAATCAGTAAGCAATGTGGTCCTCATATAATGCTATATTTTCAGTTCAAATAATTTGGGAAACCCATAAGGTCTCTAATTGGGAAATTCTAATGAGCTTCCTAGACTTGAATTCTGCTAGTTTGTTTATGCCCTGTACTTTGAATAAGAAAGCCGAGAATGTCCTTAGGGAGCACTGTTTGGGGAGTTCTTAATTTACCCATTTAGCATTGTATATGCCTTTTTTGTTCAACTAGGTGCAAAAAGATAGACAGCTTAACTGAAGGGAAGGTCACTGAGCAGAGTGCATCACGGTTCCTTCTGTCCATCCAATGTACTCTCTTGGGTATTCTTACTGCTAAGCCGTGTGAGTTGTCTTCTGCTAAACAAAAGCTCGAGAATCACGATTTATGGGCATTGGAGGGTTTGCTTGAGGAAAGTAACAGTTGTTTTCCCTTCTCTTTCATGTGTGAGTCAGTTGTGACTCTCATGGTCAAGTTCTAGTGTGTACACACTCTGGATTGGGAGCCAGTGTGCCTGTCATTCATCTTCACTGTTCTGCCGTAATCACTCTGTGTTAGAACAGGGAGAAGTTGGCTGGCCATCAACTACTGGGGGCTGGAAATAGCTGAGACCTAGTTACCAAAGTGAGTTTAGAAAGGTAAAAATAGAAAAATAAAGCCAGCCTACATGGACCCCCACCAAGCTGGCACAAGTCTGTCTCTAGGGAACAACTCCCACAGGCCCTCCCTCATCCGTCTGGTTCAGCTGGACTGGAGAAGACAGCACGCTGTGGCATCTGCTACTGGATCATTGTCAAAACCAGGAATACTCAATTATTCGTAGTTGTTTATTTTCATGGGTGAACATTTGGCGCCTTAGCACTATCTTTTATTCCGTGTTTTTCTTTCTCTCCTTCATCTGCTTTTGAGATGTTGTGCCTATTGGTCAAGCAAACCCTTCTTGACACTTAGGTACTCTTCCCAGTTTGGGACTGGGATAAAGGAAATATGTCTATCCTATAGTTGAGCCTTTCTAGCAAGCTGGTCTCTTGGAAGAATACTCAGTAGGAAACCACTATTTTGTTGATTTAAAAAAAAAACATAATTTGATACATGCTGAATAAAATGTAAATATGATTTTTTGAGATGCCTCTAAAATATCTATGCTACTGTGCCAAGAATGAATGAAGAAATTAGAAAAATCTCATTTACAGCCATGGGGCGCTCTATACTTACATGCTGTAGTGAAAACAGGATTATTTCCCCTTTGCTTTTGGGGGTGGTTTCTTTTTGAAAATTGAAGGGGGAAAAAAAAGACATTAAGTTGTCTCAGTGGTGCATCTCAGCTTCCTGGCTTAAATAAGTAATTTCATGTGCTGAGAACTCTCAGTGCCCCCTGCTTCACGCCTGCAAAGTTAAATACAGGGATAAATAAATGTCCATGCACTGTGCAGATGTAACTTCTTATGCCTGTCTTTTCCCATGACATCCTCACCGCTGGGCGGGACTCCACCTGAATGAGTGGTACTACTTAGATCAGTGGTTCTCCACCTGTGGGTCGAAGCCCCTTTGGGGATTGGATAATCTTTCACAGGGGTCACACATCAGATATCCTGCATATCAGATATTTACATTGTGGTTCATAACAGTACTAAAGTTACAGTTGCGAAATAGCAACAAAAATAATTGTATGGGAGTCACC